CATTTACCATTGCTATGCTTTGTTGGTGTGCAAAAGTGCACAGGAAGCTCAGAACAGATTTTTTTAAAATTTGCCCACGTCCTGTCATTACACTGCAGTCTTCAAATTTACACAGAGCTGCAGTTCTCCTGGGTTTTTCTCAAGTGTCACTCATCTAACTTAGCATGACAGCTGAGAAACGATGTCAGGCGCGTTACAGTTCAGTTTAAAAAACATCCTCTACCTGGTATCTCTGCAGTGATTGTCTTGCTGCTCCCTGAAACCTCTTCGTCGTCGTCTGACGAGCTCGTGCTGGAGTCACAAGTCAGGTCACTGTCGCTGGTACTGCTGTCCTGCAGCAGGTTGTACTTCTTGCGAGCAGCTGCCTCCCGCTTCTGTCTCAAGAGCCGGATCCTCTCTTTGTGCTTTTGGCTCCGGTGACCCTTTACCTTGGTAACTCGGCCGTTCTGCTTATCGCTAGACTGTCGGTTTTTCTTGGCAGCCATTGTTGAAGTCTCACTTTCGGACCTGGATCTCCTGGATTTCCTCCCAACTGCAGCCCCAGACACCGCAGAAGGGTCTCCCTCTGAGGCGGCTTCGGCTTGGCAGGGCTCATTCTCCTCTGCGGAAGACAACGTGTCTGAGTCAGCCAAATGCCCACTGGAGGAAGGGGAAAGCATGCAGTGATTAGAAGAGTCACTCTCATAAACTCGGCCACCCGCTGGCTTATCACTCTCTGTAGATGCCAGCTGAGACTCCGAGGAGTCCCGCCTCAGTTCCATCAGCAAACAAGGCATGGAAGAGAGCACTGCAGAGTCTGCTCCAGTGGGCACGCTGTCCTTTTGAGGTTGTGTCTCGAGTTCTATAGGCCTGACTTCATCAGGAGTAGTCTCTTGCTTTTCAGAAATCTTTGGTGGAATTTCTGAATCAACAAGTTCTTCTGCTTTTCCTGCTGCCTCCATCTTCATTGCAGAGCAAGATCCTTCCAGTCTCAAAGCATTGAGCACGTTGTCTAGGGGGCTGGGTGAGCTAGATGTGGTCTCCAGCAGTGCAGAAGCCTGCACAGGAACAGAACAGTAGGAAAGAATTACACAAGTAACTCAGCCTGCTCTTCACAGTGTTACCTTAAACAACTCAATTTCAGTTGCAGACAGAATGGGTTTACAGAACCCCAGAGTGGTTTGGATTGGAAGGAACCTTAAGATCATCCAGTCCCATCCCCTGCCATGGCAGGGACACCTTCCACTGTCCCAGGCTGCTCCAAGCCCCAGTGTCCAGCCTGGCCTTGGACACTGCAGGGATGCAGGGGCAGCCCCAGCTGCTCTGGGCACCCTGTGCCAGGGCCTGCCCACCCTCCCAGCCAGCAATTCCTTGCCAATATCCCAGCTGGGCCTGCCCTCTGGCACTGGCAAGCCATTGCCTGGGTGCTGGCCCTGCAGGCCTTGTCCCCAGTCCCTGGGCAGCTCTCCTGGAGCCTCTTTAGGCCCTGCCAGGGGCTCTCAGCTCTCCCTGGAGCCTGAATACTTGTGCAGGGGAGCAGCCCCAGCTCTCCCAGCCTGGCTCTACAGAAGAGCATCTTATTTCTCAGCATCATGTTGCTTTTCTTAATTTACCTTTTCCTAGGGAACTCATCCTGCTACACCAAATTATTCTTTCATTTACTTGCCCACAAAAAAATGGTACTGGAGTTACATCAAATGGGGCTCCCAGTGGAACCATTCTGTATGAACCTTATATACCAAAGACTTATTAAATAAAGAAGTGCTACTGAATCATCAAGTAAAGATGTTTTAGGAATATTTAATACACCATTTGGAAAGTGTTTGAGTGTCTCCCATGTATATGAGAACCTCAAGGCTGATTTAGTTTCTCTCAAATCTGCCAGGAAAGAAGCATTAAAGAGTAGGGGCTGCAAGCAAGAAACATTATCTACCCACACCATTATCCTACATTTTACTTCAAATTATAATTTAATAAATTGCATTGGTTCAGTGCAAATACAAAGACCAAGCTGTTTATTTGACTGCTAACTTGCACACTGTCTACCCAAAAGTACCTGAAGCAACTTCAAGGAAATTTTCTTGGAGAGATCAATAGTTACCATTCTGTCTTCATTATTCACACTTTGCCTTTCACCTGAATTTCCTCTTGGAATATAACACAGAATAAAGATCTTTCAATTACCACATTCACTTACAGATGAATGGCATGGAACAAATACTTTACAGCTTCAAAAGTATAGTAAATGATAAATTTATGGCAATTCAAAAAACAAAGTGTAGGCAAGAAAATGAAAGAATAATTTGGTGT